TGGATTAAATTTATACATATACATTAAATAAAAAATAGCTAAATAATCAATATAATTTCACGTACATATGATATTCATCTTTGTATATAAGTGTATTTATCTATTTTCAAACATACGTAACGTTGTCCATGAATATCAGCTAAGACTGATATCAACAAGTGAATGAGATGAGAATGAAATTTGGATTTGTCTCCAATCCCCAAACATAAAAAGTAAATCTCTGTTTACTAAAGAACTCCTTTGTACATTTTTTGTATGTAAAAAAATAATAGTGAATTGTATACAATACAGTAAAAACTATGAACAATATTTAATAATTCAGTTTCTTGCAGTCGCACATTTCTTGCAGTAATTTGACATGTAATTATAACTCAATATATTTTGATTACTTATCTACCTACTCACTACATAATACTTTTTTTTTTTTTAATAGGTGAAAATGATATGGTAACCCCGCCTGCGCTAACGGGATACGCTGGCGAAGCACCAGTGAAGGGTGATAGATGAGCATGAAAACAGGCCAGTTAGCCCATCATGATGAATTCATCAGGAATTAACCATGATAGTTTCCAGGGGAAACCGCGAGGAGGTCGACCTGGTTGGGTATATTGCTAGCAATGAGATTCTCAGTCTCCATTACTAACAATCCCTTTCCCCCACTACATAATACTATTTATCCACTCTATTTTAAAATATATTCTATAATTATTAAGAAGTTTCTTTTTTATTATTAAAATTGTTATTACAGCTGGGATTAGCATTACTTATTTCTAAAATTTAAAATGTAGATTATATTAAATTAATTACAAGTAATTAATTTTGGGAATGGAATAGTCACAATTGTCTATTGCAAACTTGATTTTAATTGACGAAATTTATATATAATTTAATATCTCATGATTCCAGTTGCTGTTTTTGGAAAGTAAATTATAAATTAATGTGGTAACATAAAAAATTATAATGGAGCCAACACAGTAATCTTTGTTGAAAAGAATTATTAAAATTTCATAACAAACTACATATGTGTATAGGTATGTGTATATATGTGTATGTGTGTAAGTATGTATTTATGTTTGTAAGTTTTTATTTATTTATGTATTAATGTTATATTATTATTCATGTAGTTTTATTATTTACATATGTAGGTATATAGAGCTGTTTTTATTGTATTATATATTCAATTTTTTACTGGGTATTATTTAGTTTATCTTTAATTGCACGGTTATTACCCGTATACATTCTATAGTTTTCTTTCAGCTTCTCAAAGGTTGACTGTAAAAGATCCCTTTATGGGATAAGTCCGCCATTGTATATTAAATAATTTATCAGTGCTTAATTTGAAATATGTACGATAAAGATTTTACAATACAATACAATACATATGTTTATTTTTTATCTGTATTTTATACGAACACTTTAGTTACTTTGTAGTGAAATATAAGGAAGATCTATCTTCAACAACCAGCAGATAATTTGAAATTATAACGATCATAACAATTATAGTCTCGAATGAATGATGATAGCTGGGATGATTTTAAATACTAAATAAACATAATTACCTCGAAGATAAAATAATATGTAACGATATAATCAAAGGTTTTATCCTATACAAAAAAAAAATATCTTATCAAAATTTGTTAATTGTGTCCAAAAACACACAATAACACAATTACAAATAAATTTATACCAGACAATTGTTACGTTACAAAACAAGATATACAGATAATGACGTCAAGCGTGTCGACCAAATGTCGATCCCAAAATCCTTTTTATAAAATACACCTCCGCTGCCGTGTGAATTCGCTATTCCGTGAAATTTCGAATATTGAACAAATGCACAAAAAACTTAAAGCCGACTTAATGACCTCTTTCTTTTTAAAACCATCTGTAAACCAACCAACAAACCTAAACTAGAAAGTACTATGCAAATATTTTCTACGTCATATATCACATATCACTGTCTACGAACGTATTTTTGTTAACACTACCTTTTTATTTGGCGCAGATACCAAACGAAACAAAAACACATGTTTTGTATCACGAAATCACTGTATTTCAACATGTTATTATACACTATTTGGTTACACTACTCACGATTAATAAACAATTATTGTATTCCTTTTTTATCGAAACATAAATAATTTTGACAGTATAATATACTGCGCCAACCTTTTTTTCATCTGTTTATAAGAAGGTAGTTATATCTATAAAACATTTCTATGGACTTTGCAATACATTATTCTAATACTAAAGCGATGCCTCCGCCATAAGAGTCGTAAATATCTTACGGCCACGAAAACAAAAGGAAATTGTAGAGAACGCCCGGTAAATAAGCTTTCATCGCTAATACTTGAACAGTCTTCCACCAATTTGTTACGACTGAAATTATTATACATAGTCAAGGTTTTATTTGTTGTAAACATACTTTTATGTATTAAAACAGACTGTACACAAAGTTATAATATAATGTTAACAAAAGTTTGAAAAAATCTTCTGTTAAATTTTGTATTAAGAACTTTCTTGTTATTGAGAATACATTTTTTTTATACAACTTAGAATGGCAAACAAGCTAACAGCTCACCTGATGGAAAGTGGTAACCGTCGCCTATAGACATGAGCAGTACCATGGACATAACAGAGTATACTGTTTCGCCCATGATACCCCCCATGCGTTGCCATTCCTGAGAACTCAGGTGTTATTCCTCTGTACCCTGTATCATATCATATCAGTCATTAACTGTCCAGTGTTGAACATAGACATATTAAAGGCAGTTTTGCCAGTAGTCGCTACACTTGGCAGGCGGGTTGGCAACAGCAGTTAGGCTTTGATATTTTAAGAGGGACGCTGCTGCATATCCCTCGTCCATTAAGTTCCTTTAGTTATCTCTGTCCGACTCGTGTTTCTACCACCAATGAACATAGTTACGAAACGAAAATTTAATTAATAGTCCCTGTGCTCTTATTAATCACATTTTCTATTTGACTACCAAAAAGAAGGATATTTTCTGGGTATATTGACTAAATAACTTGAAAGGTAAATGGGGCATAATTAAATTAGTCCTAATTTTGTTAATAACGGTATAAAATAAATGGTGGTCGTACGTAAACTGAAAAAGAACTTGCTAATTTTCAACAAAGTAGATTTTTCTAACATTGTCCCTTCTACTTGATACTTATTGTAACAAATATATATTTTTTTAAACACGATATATTTATACGCTTAGAAAAGAAAAATTAAAAAATGTTCGGAACATAATGAAAACGCACCGAAATCTTTATTCGTTTCGTTTATACATTTCAGCGCATTATGGAATAATTTAAAAGGGATGGAATGAATAAAATAATAAGAATAAGTAGCACGTGTTTGTCATTTGCACGGAAGTGTATGTAAATGTTATGGAGGCACTAATCTAGCCTAATGTCCGGGTTTCATTTCCAGCGCGTTTATAAAGTATCTAACTTTTTTTTTCGTTATAATATCATTGCTTTTATGTCCTTCATAATTGTTTTTTTTTTTTTTTTATACAACTTAGAATGGTTAATAAACCGACAACTCACCTGATGGAAAGTAGTAACCATTGCCTATAGACATGAGCAGTGTCATGGATATAACAGAAAACTTGTTGTTTGTTATATACTAACTCTTACCCGCATCTTCGTCTGCGTGATGGCGATATGTACGCTGACAGGGATAAAAGATACCTTATATCCTTCTTCATTTATGTAATAAGTGTATATCAAATTTCATAGTGATTCATTAATATATTAAGGCGTTATGAGGTGACAAACAAACAAATTCACTTCCACATTTATGATATTAAGTTAGAATAAATAATAGCTTATTATGTACAGTCACGTTCATTGTAGACCCGCGCAAAAAATGCTTAAAACCAACAAATTTGATAGGGCTTAAAATTTTTACGACACGCCACAAAAATAGGTTTATTTTTTACTCTCTGTTTGTACATACGAGTATATACTTATACATACATACAGAGAGACCCGTATATATGTACATACGATCTCCATAAAAGAAATATTAACTTTCTTTAGACAGTTTCTTTTACTGTACTACGTATGTACGTGATGTATATATGAAATTACAGGGTATAGAGTCATAACACCTAACTCCTCGGGAATAGTAACGCATGAGGGGTATCATGGGTGACACAGTATACTCTGTTATGTCCACGGTACTGTTCATGTCTATAGGCAACGGTTAACACTTTCCACCAGGTGGACTGTCAACTTGTCATTCTAAGTTGTTTAAAAAGAATTAATCGCTATCACTAAGATTAAGTTTAAAGTTGGCAACAGACAGACAAATAATGCTGCCTCGATAATTTTAAGTTTAATTAAATTTTAAGTTTAGTTAAATTTAAGTTTAATTAAGTAATTAACGCTAAAAATTACACAAGAAGTTTTACAAAAAAAAAATACATTAATTGGTGTATTTTTTTTTTTTGTAAAACTTCTTGTGTAATTAATTAATTGAAACTAAAATTATTTGGTAATTTAAAAATCATTGAGAAGACTTTTAAATATTTATTAAGGAATCCCCATGTAAGTAATATAAAGTTATATTTATTACGAGAACAACAAAACTGATAAAGCCAGGAGAAATAGTTTATAACTTTTTTTTTCGTAAGGATATGAAACTACGAATCTTACAAATTATATTATACATTCAAATCAAAATCCAATAACCGCATGTTAGTAGTGATCTTTGACCTTTTAGCTTTAAGGAAATTTGAATAGCGCAGGAACGTTACAGTGTAAATCACATTGTTCCTATAAATATATTATAACTGCCAGCTTCCAGCATTGAAATAGGTCAGGATAGAATCCCTCGACACCATACAAGCCACGAGGAAACTTCGCCCCGTGCTTAACCTAAAAATTAGTACGTGTCGGCCGACCCGCTAGGCGCCGTCAAATTCTATTATTAGGCCCACTGTCCAAATACCGTTCGTAAATAATGTATCAGCAACACGACTCACCAGCAAAATATCGATCTCGCGCCGCAAACAAAGTTCAATCGACTTCACATTCCATGAAAGTTTCACTCGAGAAGTGCTCACCTGAGATCGCGATTATACATAACTCGTTTCATGCTAGTCCGAGTACGTTAGGTTCGTCGCGGCGCCGGCTCGGTGGGAGTGCGGGGTGCGCATGGTCGCGCGGCTCGGCGCGGCTCGGCGCGGCTCGGCGCGGCACAGCGCGGCACGGCACGGCTGCGGCGCGGTGCGGCACACGGGCGACCGGCGCGGGGCGCGAGGCGAACTGGCCCGGGCGGGGTAGTTCGCGCCGCCGCGTTTCGTTGCCCTAAATTCGCATTACAGCCAGCACAATAATTGTCGTAGCGCTGCAGCCACGACGGCCGCACACCCTATCGATTCGCTCCACGGCGCGTACGTTTCGTGAAAGTAAAAAGTTAACTCGATCGAATACGATGCGGTCAGGTACTGAACTATCAAAAACGCGATCCGTTTTCTAGGTCACAATTTAATTGATTCTTTACGTTCGTACGTACGTACGACTACGAGCTTATAAATAACCGGGAATCGGTACATGTACGGTTTCCGTCAAATTGTTTTATGCCGGTCTCATTTAAAGTACGTTAATTATATTAAAAAAAATAATTAATGATTAAAATTAATAAAATTTCTTATAACGAATCGTAAATGTTATTAGATCATTATAGACAATCTAAATCAATTTCAGTATTACAAATCGACAAAAAATATATTTTACAGTATAAGAAACATCTAGTTTATATTTTATAAAATGTTTGATGTCATTAAATTCACTATAAATAAAATATGATGCGCATTGTGTAGGCGGTAGCTACGTAAAGAGCGCTACGTCGAGGCTACGGCGCAGCGGCGCCCTGCTACGTTGGACCGCTACGACGTGCTACGCTTTTAAATTTTTCATTTCTATTTGTGTAACACATAATAGTGAGAAATAATTAAATTTGAACAATGCTGGAACTTTTTATATATTTTGTTGCTTGTGTAAGCTAAATAAATAAATTTAGTTTTAGTAATTGATTAAATATAATTAAATAAATACATAAAGAGAAAAAACTTTTAAAAAGTTCTTAGAAAAAAATAATAAATCTACGTTATTGTCAGATCATTGCGGACCTTTTTCAGGTCTCTTAAAATCTATTTGCTTTTAATTTTATCCACCCATCCTACGTATCGCCACTTCACCTTGTGGCAGGTCGTCTTACACTACACTTGACAATTTGCAATATCTAATTTAAAATACTCCATAGGTTCTCGACAGTTTAACCGAATTATATTAATACTGTTTAACTTATGTCGATGAGTCTATTTGTATGTAATACTACAATACGAATATAGTAATGGAATAGTCATGAAATGAACTCCCTGCCGAGGTTTCCCCAAGAGACTACAGCATGGGGTAAAGAGGTTTCTTCAGGGTCGGCAACGCGCGCGTAATGCCTCCGGTATTATAGGCGTTTATAGGTTGCGGTAACCACTTACCATCAGGTGGGCCGTATGCTTGTTTGCCACCTCAGTGGTATAAAAAAAAATAGTGTAATGTTGTATTCGTACGGTATATTATTATTATATAATATATACATATACATACATATTATGTAAAATATATATGTATTATATGTATGTTATGTAATATGATTATTATATGTATGTTATTTTTTTATTACTGTTTTAATTTAATATTGTTCATTACGTTATATATATATATATATATATATATATATATATATATATATATATATATATATATATATATATATATATATATATATATTTGTTGTTAATTATTAAGGGTAAGTAAATACAAATTAACTAAATAGTTTATTTGTTAGATAAATATCTATGATCATTTACGATAATCGTGATATAGAAACTACAATTTCCAACTACTCTAACACTTACCTACCACCATTAATTTACGAAATAATATTTACTTAAATACTAAATGTTTACCAAATAAATCTTCTTAAATAATAAACAAGAATACCTAGTACTACAGCACTGCAGTGGTTTAATGACTAATTAATAAGGTTCATATTAGCCTGTCAAAAGATGAGTTACGTGTTTAATATGATAGAAGCTGTTAGTCCAATTTTGGCCGTGTCCATTTAATACTACAGGGTATTAAATGGACACTCTATGTCCGTCAAAGTGGAACATTATTTAGGGAGTTATCACAGTATCATATATATAGGATAATATATCGATCAACCTGTCAGTTTATAAAGCAGAGTACAGAAGAATAACACCTGAGTCCTCTGGAATGGTAACGCATGGGGGGTGTCATGGGTGAAACAGTATACTCTGTTATGTCCATTGTACTGCTCATGTCTATAGGTGGCGGTTACCACTTTCCATCAGGTGGGCCGTCATCTTGTTTGCCATTCTAAGTTGAATAAAAAAAAGCAACTATCTATTTCCCACGATGTTCCCGCATGCTCCAGTGCATAAATTTAAGTTCGAATATGAACTAATCCGTGGATCAAATTTCATTCAAATCTGTTCATCTATTTAGGCGTGATTGAGTAACGAACACACAAACATCCAAACATCTTTACAAACTTTCGCATTAAGTATTATTCATAATCATCATCTCAGCCATCATCTGTCCACTGCTGGACATAGGCCTCTCCCTTAGACTGCCACAAGGAAAGGTCCTGATTCACCTGCGTTCACTGATTCCCTGCAATGCATTTAAAGTCGTCACTTCATCTAGTGGAAAGTCGTCCTACACTACATTTACCCGTACGGTGTCGCTACTCAAGGGCCTTTTTTCCCCACCAGTTGTCGACTCTTTGACCAGCCCATTGCTACACCAGCTTACTTATCCTTAGGGATACGTCAGTGAATTTAACTATTATTATTTAGTAGGTTTAATGCCCTTATTAATACAAGTAAAATATTTTACAAAAAGAATAATTTATGCAAATTAATTTTCCGTTTGGAATCAAAGTCAATAACAAAAACTTTATATTTATGTCCTAAATTATAAATTACAAGTCTATCATATACTGTCATCACGGTCTAAAGCCATTTCTCCTACCAGCCTTCAACGGATATGTCTAGACAGATTAATGGGTGCCTAATTATCATATAAATGCTAGGGCCGTACCAAAGGCGTTGGACAACCGACTGTTCTTTAAACTGTGCTATTATCAACTCCCTTTCGGTTAATTAGGGTCGACATAGTATGCAATATATTATACTCTATGATGTACTAGATAATCTTATTTATTAATTTATATTTTTTTTTATATCACAAAGGTGGCAAACAAACGTGCAGCCAGTCTGATTTTAAACGGTTACTGTAACCTATGGACGCCTGCAACACTAGAGATATCACGTGCGCGTTGCCGACCTAAAAGAAACCTTAATACACCCTTTTTAGATAATTATTACAATGGTATAGTTTATAAAGGTTGTACTCTTACACATTTTAGCCAGGCAATTAATAATAATTATATTTGAAGTTGCATAAAAAAAAATCAGCCGTTAACTGTTCATTGCAGAACATAAGCCTGTCCCTGTAATAAAGGGAATTGAGCCAGTGGTTGGCACGTTTAGCAAGCGGCTTGGCAATCGTAGTTAGTGATGTGGTGGCCTTTAGTGATGTTTTAAAAAGGGTGCTACTGTCTATCACTCGTCCATTAAATTCCCTTAGTCGCCTTTTACACCACCTACAGGAACAGAAAAGGTGGCCCATTCTATGCCGGTATCAGCTGACTTATTAAATACAGAGTAAAATCATAATTATAAACATCCTTTTAAGAGTTTGTTTCATTTTTTTTTAATTATAACAAAAACGACAAAAGTTTTAAGCCTCCAATACTAACTAAGAAGTTGGACGCACCGTTTTAGTATTTATTGTCATTTATCATCCCGTGTTTCTTTAATAAAAATATACTCAAATACACGCATAGAATACTTTTTAAAAAATTCTAATAACTGAACTTCACCTTGTATACATGAATTTATGAGAATATTAGCTTTTACCCGCGTCTTCAATCGCGATACTGCGATAAAAGTTACCCTATGTCCTTCTCCATCTCATACAGTAAATGTATACCAAATTTCATAGTATATACTATGAAAGTACTTAGTAGGTAACAAACAAACGCGCTTTCACATTTATAATATTACTAGCTGACCCGACAACTTTGTACCGCCTAACAGATTAATATTTTTTTTTCTGTATTTTTTACGTGTCTCTTTCCTATATTTTGGATGAATGAATGAATAAAAATTTATTTCAATAGTCCACGACACTTACGTACACTTAGACTGTAAGTAATAACAACATTAAAAAAAATAAAAAAAAAGTTTACATTTATACATTTGAAAAAGGATGCCAATTCAGCTTAAAGCTCCTGCAGAAGCAGAAACGCTAAGTTTTAATTAGCCCCTCAACACCTTGCCAGGTCCATCAACATCATAAATTAATATTAATAGTAATAGGATCTAATTGACCCACTGCTAACAATACGCCCTATCAGGGCGACCTTCACGCGGTTCCCCCTAGAAACCGTCGTGATTAACTCTAGTGGAATTCGTCTCAATGGGCTAACTGACCTGCCTCTTCATCCTCACCTGGTGCCCCACCAGCGTATCTCGATAGCGCAGACGGGGTTACCATTCCATTATCACCCATTAAAAAAATATATACAAACATGCTCAAAACAATAGGTAAGCAAAAAAATATTTAAAAAAACAACAATAACAAAAGAAAAACAAGAACAAATAAAAGTTTTGGACCCTGTGTGTAGAATAAAACAAATATCCAAGCCTTGACAGTTATTTTAATAGTTTTTTTTTATACAACTTAGAATGGCAACAAGCAGACTGCCCACCTGATGTAAAGTGGTAATCGTCGCCTATAGACATAAAGGCGACGGTTACCACTATATACATAGTAAGACGAATTCAACAAATCATAGATCATCAAAATTTGTCGAGCCGTTCTGAAGTTATAAATGGTGTTACTGACCCGACTTTGTCTTATTTAGATAGATTAAGGTTATTATGATAGTGTAATAATACCATATGGGAGCAGGTTCATAGGTCGATCGACCGGCCACTGCGGTCTAATCGACCACAAGTGGCGTGTTAACTGCTCGCGTGACAACCCGTGCGTGCCGCTCCGTGCTTTGTTTGTGATTCTTAAAAAAACGTATTAAAAACCACCACTGGCGATGTACGGTAAGCTGTTTGCGCTTTTTCCTTGGC